TATACTATCAAGCAACTTTAATAACTAACATCTATAGAATATTAAACAAAAAATGCAAAATTTCCAACTACTTATGGAACATTCACAAAGGAAGACCTGACGCTGAGTTATACTCATAAAATAAGTCTCAATAAATGTAAAGGGTCTGAAATCTTACAGAATTGGTACAATGGAATCAAATTAAAAATGAATAATAAAAACATATCTGGGAAATATCCAAATATTTGCAAATTGAAAACACTTCTAAGTGACCCACAGGTCAAAGAAGAAATCACAATGAAAATTAGAAAATAGTTTAACTGAATGAAAAGGAAAAAATACAACACATCAATGTTTGTGGATGAAGGTAAAACAGTACTTATAGAAAAATTTGTAGTTTTAAATGTATTAAAAGAACAATCTAAAACTAATTACCTAAGCTTCCACCATAAGAAGCTACAACAAAGACCAAATTAAACCTAAAACAAAGTAGATAAGAAATAATATGGATAAAAGTGGAATTCAGTGAAACACAAAACAGACAACAAAAAAAAAACAGAAAAAAAAAATCAATGAAACTGAAAACTAGTTCTTTGGGGGAAAAGACAGTAAAACTGATAACCTATAGGCAAGCCAATCAAGAAAAAAAAGAGAGAAGACACATTTCTAATATCAAAAGTGAAAGACAGGACATCACCACAGATCCCACAGGCATTACAAGGCTAATAAAGGAATGTTATTTAAAAAAAAAAAAAAGTTGGTAAATTATAAATTCATCAACTTAGATAAAATGGATACATTACTTGCTAAAGATGAATGGTGGATTTAATATTAAAAATCCAATCAATATAATGCAAATCAAAATCACAATGACACACAACTTCACACCCACTAGGATGGCTTTTACAGGAAAGATAAAGTAACAAGTGCTGGCAACAATGTGGAGAAACCAGAACCTTCATATACTACTAGTGGGATATAAAATGTTGTAGCCACATTGGAAAACAGTCTGGCAATTCCTCAAAGTGTTCAAATTGAGTTGCCAGTTGACCCAGCAATTCCACTCCTTGGTACATATCCACAAGAAATGAAAACATATGTTCACACAAAAACATGTACATGAATGTTCACAGCAGTATTATTCATCATATTCCAGAAAGTGGAAAAATTCCAGATGTCAGTCAAATGATGAATGGGCCAAAAATGTGGCATACGCATACAATGGAATATTATTCAGCAATAAAAAAAAAATGAGGTACTGACCATGAATAAACCTTGAAAATATGCTAAGTGAAAGAACAGTCACAAAAGGCCACATATTATATGATTTCATTTAAATGCAATGGACTTCTAGTTTCCAGCTCTGCTTATAAAGAGCTTGAAAGTTGCCACTCAGTCCTAAAAACAAGTTAAAGGCTGAACAAAATGACAGTAACTTGTCCCCTTCCCCAATTCCCCAGCACTGTTCCCATCTCCCAATTCCCCAATAAATAAATAAATAAATAAATAAATAATCAGGAGGGGTATCTTGGCTGCAGAGGTCCCCGAGGAGTGAAGAGTCCTAGGCTCACACCAGGCTCCCCAGCCCAGGGTTCCAGTGCTGGGGAGAGAAGTTCCCATAACTTCTGGCAGCAAAAACCAGAGGAGACAGTGGAAGTCCTAGGTGTTCCTCTTAAGATCATCCTAGATGATCTTAAGTGTGGCCCACATATGGACGCATTTAAGATCATCTTCTCAAATGAAGCCATAAAGAGAATGAAAAGGTGAAATGAAAGATGGGATTAAATATACATACATCCAGCAAGATTTGTATCCAGAAAATTTCATGTACTCCCACAAATAAGAAAAAAACAGATCCACAGCTTAGAAAATGGGGCCTAAGACTTAAATGGGTATTTCACCACAGAGGATAGCCAGATGGCCATTAAGCACATAAAAACATGCTGAACATTTTAAGTCATTAGGGAAATGCAAATTAAAACCATAACGAACCACTACCATGGATCCACTAAAACAGCCAAAATGGAAAACTGACGAAACTAGTGCTGTCAAGGATGTGGAGAAACTGGGACTCTCATGCCCTCCTGATGAGAGTGTACATTGACACTGAGTTTGTGGCTGTATCCATGAAAGCTGAACATCTGCAAAAATATAACAGAACAATTCTACTCCTTGGTACATATATCCAAAAAATATGTGTGCCTGTGTATACAAACAGATATGCAAAAGATTATATATAGCAGCATAATTCTTAAGAAGAGCCAGAGTGGAAAAATCCAGATGTCCATCAACCATCGAATGAACAGTGAGATATATTTATACATTAGAATACTCTATAGCAACAAAAATGAAAAAAATCACAACTGTATCCAAAAACATGGATAATCTTATAAACATAAGATTGCACAAATAAAGCCAGACTCAAAAGAACACATAAGCTATTATTCTATTTATATAAAGATCAAATATAGACAAAAATAGGCAAAATGAATATACAGTGTTACAAGTTAAGATGGTGGTCATCTGTGAGGAGGAAGGCAGTAGTGATTGGGTGGTGGGAGGACAGGCGCTTCTGGGATGCTGGTGGTGATCTGAGTACTGGTTACAAAGGCATTTCCCTTTGTAAAATTTACCTTGTGATAATTCACCAAATAATACACATAATTTGTGAATTTTTCCATTTGCATATTATACTTTAATTTTTTAAAAATTAGGCAATTCCATATGTGTTAATCATGGAAGGAACATTAAAATATGTGTGTGGTTGAAAAGGACAAATCATTAAAGAGTGTGTAGTAGTGTACTGCTTATCAACAGGGATACATTCTGAGAAATGTGTTGTTAGGCGATTTTGTCATTGTGTGAACATCACAGAGTACACTTACACAAACCTAGATGATAGAGCCTACTGCACACCTTGGCTATATGGTACATATAGCCTATTACTCCTAGACTACAAGCCTGTAGAGCATGTTACTGTACTAAATACTCTAGGAAATTGTAACACAACAGTAAGTATTTGTATAATACGTGTACTATAACTTCACGACGAGGACATCACTAGGTGATAGAAATTTGTCACCTCCATTATAATCTATGGGACCACTGTCCTATCTGCAATCTGTTGTTGACTGAAATGTCGTTATGCGGAATATGACTATATAATACTAACAATTTTATAAAGTAATAATCAAGGACATGTTTGTGTACAATAATCATAATGGTAACATTTCCTAAATGCTAACTACTTGCTAAGGTATTGTACTACGCACTTTACATGCATTTTATCATTTATGTCTCTCAAAAACACTGTGAAGTAGTGTTTTGAGTAGTAGTTTTGAGAGGCATAAAATAACCCTTACTTTATGGATGAGAAAACTGAGAATACAAGGAACTGGCCCAAAGTCACCCAGTATAGAACTGCAACACTGGGATAATAACCCAGGCTCCAGATCAGATGTTCATCCCACACATAAACTGGCGGCAGTGGCTGCTTCTGAGAAGGGAATGGGGACTGAGAGGCTGGCTGAGCGAAAGGCTGGCTTATCAGAGTACACTCTAGGTATTACTTAAAGGAATACATTTGCATGTCTTACGTATTATCAAAAACATATTTATTAAAAATTGTTTTCTATGGTTTATAATCCCTGAGCTACACAAAACTGCTTTATCCAGAAAAAAAGCATAACTCATTGTTTTATTACTTTACCTGATTTAGGATGCAAAGCATCACACTGGGCATTGTACATATGTACAAATTCTTGGTGCCTTTTAATGAGCTGTTGTTTATTTCCTTGAGTAGATAATCCATATTGTTTTAGCTTTTTCTTTAAATCGCGATCTGAGAGCAAGTTATATACGGTTTTGGGCAGCAGTTTCCTTTTGTGAACAGAACTGAAAAGGGGAAAAAAAAGAGATCACTGAGGGTTATGGTGAATTATCAAATGCTTTTCATGTAAAACAGTAATTTACCTTCTGACTCAATACCAGGGTGACTGGGAGAACAGTAGAACCATTAAGATAAAAATGAGAAAGAGCATGATGAAACTTGCAAATGAAGTTGACAACATTCAACATGATCCATGCGAGGTGCCAGTGGGACATTCAGATAGGGAGCTCTCAGTGGCAGCCAAACTTAGAGAAACTTAGGTCTCAGAAAGCGGCCAGGCCTAAAGATGTACATCTGGAACTCACACAGAAGGCTTGTGGACTAAATGCTATGAGAACTTCACTTAGAATCACACTTATGTAGATTTGTTCAATTCTCCACCTCTTTAAAGAATGTTTTTCCTAAAATTTGCCCATGGTTTCCACGCAAAATCTCTGTAACAATCAGTTATTTCAGATGATTAGAGTACAAACATTACTGAGTATTAAGCTATGGACTTAACAATACTATCATATATAGCTTCTTTAGAAAAGTTGATCCACAGGCCAATCTGCCCTCTCAAGCCCAAGACAATCATTTTGCAAAAGCACTAGATGAGATAAAAGAACACCTGTTGGGATGATTAGCTTTACCCAACTCATTACCACCAATGAAAAGAGAATTCAGAAAGTTGACGGATACATGGCATTCTTGTGACATCGTCTTCAAAGGACACAATTAAAAACAACAGCAAAAAAACAACAGTGTTGTTCTCTTCAACTTCAATTAACTATATTAACAACAAGACATTACAGGAAGTGTATTAGCAAAATCACCACCTGGTTCTTCATTCTATTTACATCATTAATAGACTGATAAGCATAAGCTACAATTTTAACTATAACAAAGACCTACTAAGTGATTTTCTTCCACTCCAGTTAACAGACATTTGTTAAAATGAAATGGATGTCACATTGCCTAAGGGTACTGATGATTTGAGACAATTTTATAAACAGAAACTCCTCAGTGAGCTTCAATCTGATAATAACCTGGTTCTCCAAGAATATCACCTGACTCAACGCTATGGCAACTGGGTGCTTAATAAATATACAGTCAAGGTAGTCGTTAAAAATATAATCATTCTGGGCCGGCCGAGTGGCTCAGTTGGTTAAGAGCTTGCTCAAGAGTGCGAGCTGTGTTCCAGTTCGATGCCTGGCCCGAGCTGAGCTGCCGGCTCAGCTAAAAAAACAAAACAAAACTATATATATATATATTATATATATGTGTATATATATATTATATATATGTGTATATATATATTATATATATGTGTATATATATATCATTCTAAAATGAAAATATCAAAGATTCAGGTTAAAATCAGTAAGAACTTGAAAGCAATAGATTTTTTCCAAAAAAACATGATTTTACAAAAGACTTTCAGAAGGCCATGCTACCCAAACTTTAGTGTATCTCAGAGCGACCTGGAGAGCTTATCTGAAATGCAGATTCTCAGTCACTTCACACCATCCCCCAACACTGATTCTGTCCTGAAGTGGAGACCTAATATCTGTATTAACAAGGTTCCACAGGGTAAGTCTGATGCAAATGGTAAAGACCATACTACGAGAAACAGGACAGCAGAATAGAGACTGGAAAAAAAAAAAAAAACCCAGACATTTCTCTGTTAATCAACAGTACCATTCCCTACAAATTGTTTCTTTTACACTCTATCAATAAAGTCTAAAAGCCAGAGATAATTACTTAACTGTAGAAAGAACTACAAACCTTCAACAGATTACATTTTTATGAAAATTGCTCTTCTTATAGAATGACAGACAGCCCATTGAACTCCAGAGACTGATAAGATTATGGCTAAATGAAATCACAGTAGGTAGCCAGACCTGAGACATTCTGTAGTTTATACAGCACATCGTGAGGGACAATTCATGAAGGCTATATATCTAAAACATTTATTTTAACAAGGATAGATGATTAAATTTATGACTATGAAATTCTAATGGAAAACTGTACTTGGTTACTGGCATTTACAATGAAAAGCACCAGCAGAAATCAACAATTTCTATCAAGAATTTTAAAATATGAAGCCTGATAAATGTTCCCCCAAAACATGAAAATGACAATGAACTTTCTTCCATGATCTAGTGAACTCAGTAATGCATTTAAAGGTCCCCAGAATCTGAAAACATCAAAAGGAAGGATATTCTCTAAATCAACTCGGATATGAATCTACATAGAATGGGTTAAGGTCTGTCATCCATATAGAGGAAATAGCCTGTTAGGGTACTATGGAGAACATTTTTTAAATGTCAGAGATTCTTAGGTGACCAGACCCCAAGAATAGGTTGTAACTTCTTTATAAAGAAATGTGGCTCGGGCCAGCCGAGTGGCGCATTGGTTAAGAACTGGCTTGGGATGCCAGAGGGCCCAGTTTGGATCCCACATATGAGAGCCAGTGACACTGCCCTCTACAGCCAAGATGCTGAACAACAGCTCAACCTGGAGCTAGGCTGCTGTGGGTCGCCGGCGACGGCGTAAGCTGCAGTCCCCTGCTGCAGTGGGCTGCCATAAGCTACCATGTGTAGCCAGTAGCCAGCATGAGTGGCCAGCAGCCGTCCAGTGCCCGGCGAGCAACTGCCTCACCCGGGAAGAGCGCAATGATGGTGCCAACTTGGGCCAGTGAAGCAACATCCTCCACAACTAGACTGAAGAACAAAACGACAGCAACTTGTCTGTTCCCTTTCCCCCAATTCCCCAGCACTGTTCCCCTCCCCCAATTCCCCAATAAAATCTTTAAAAAAAAAAAAAAAAGAAAAGAAATGTGGCTCAATGTTCCCCTAAGTTTATCTTCACCAACACTCATTTTGCCAAGATATGAGTTATGAGGACAAAAAGGTTTTGGGATCAAATAAATGTAGGAACTACTGGATTAAAGAAAATCCAACAATTATGTTTAATATAAGACTTCTCAGAACTTTCAATACACTAATTTGTTTAATCTTTCCCTAAGAGAGAGAGATGCAGTGTGCAGTGCTTCTAAGTTGTATAACAGAGCAACTGGCAGGACCATAGCATTCCATGGAGTAGGATCTGGACCCACTATTGGAACTTGAGCTCAATTATTCATGGATGAGTATGTCTTTGGATTAATTGACAGTTAAATGTGTTAAAAGAAATATGATGGGTGCATCTAGAAAAAGAGTACTCCAAGCAAGATATCAGTGCTGATTCCTTACTCTTCAAGGAGAAAATGCTCAGCTTCTATATTCCCAACTTTCTTTAGGAAGAAACATTTCTAAAGAGAAAGACAGGTCATCAGGTTCTCACGGCTTATGAGAAATAACCCTCAGGATGATCCAGTGTCACCTATTCCAAAACTCAACTAACTAAGCAACCTGAAAAATCTAAACTTCTTTCTCATCAACAATTTAATGCACTAGGAGGGAGTGTGGTACTCTGCAGGTATCTGCTGCAGAGAGAGATCTGTGGGGGTATCTCCGGGACAGAGGCCACCATGGCTAAAGCAGGAACGAAGGGAGAGTGGGGAGGTCAGCTGGGGCAGCACAATCCCCAGGCCTTGCATCGCTACTTCAATACAGCAGGGCCAATTTTATCTTTTATATGTTATGCTTCACTGTAAGACTTCACTTGAAAAAAAAAAAAAGGTTTTGCAAGGGGGAAAATGTTAACTATCAAGCTAAAATGAAACACAATAAGAACTGTCAATTAGTGCCCCCTACTTAAATTAATAAAGCATCATAAAGCTTCGGTAAATTATAACAACATGAGTGTGTCCCTCAGAACCTGAATTCACTCCAGATTTACTCATAAAAATGAAGTGACACCATTTTATCTTTAATTACAAAAAATAATAAGAAGCCCTGCCTTATTATCATGGTTTTTGGAAAATACTCTTTCAAGTCCTTCAAAACAGACCAAACATAAGAGCCAATCATTCTATTCATCTCCACTTCCCAGATATCATTGAATTCTTCAGCTGTCCTGCTCTTTTTCCAAATCTCTCTGAATTACCACCTATTCTTTCCCCTTCCCTCCTACTTGAGAAGGGTTCTTTGTACACATCAAGGACAACTTCATTACAGGACTCTTCATCTCTTATGCTCCCGACCTTGTTCCATCTATTATCTGCTGTCTCCCTGGAGACAGGAGAGGCTGAAGGCTTAAACAATTACTATTTTAAAAATTAAAATCTTCCTTGATCTTGACGCATACTCATTCCCCAAACCACCATCTCACCTCTCTTCTTCCCTTCATCACCAGACTCCTCTAATTTGCAGCTTCTGCTTCCTTATTATCTTCATTAACCACTGATTCCTTAACACCCCGCAATTTAACTTTGAATAAAATTTCATTCCTAAACAACTTGCATTTATAACAACAGTGGCCTACTTTTTAATTACTGTGGCTTTGATGTAGAAGAGAGGCAAAATAGAAGTTTGGTGCAAACACTGAGTTGACACCTTAGTTATGTCACCTGGGTGTTTTGGGGGCTGGGAGAGGAAAACATTCCATTTCATACATACCCTTTTGTCCCTTTTAATGTCATATGTATATAACTGCCAATTCAGAAAAAAAAATTATTTGTTTTAATAAAAGCCTGATTTTAAATTTTTAAAAAAATTAATTTCTGAACATCCTAGATCCAAAGAAAGATTTTATATGTTCTATACTTTGATTCTAACCTTGCTCTTCTTTGGCCAAGGAGCTTTATGGTAGTTTTAAAAGTCTAAGAAAAGAAAACAAGTTTAAAAAGAATTTAACTCTAAATCACTAATTTCTTGTTAAATCAAATTTTATTAGCAGTTAAATTTTATATAGTTAATTATATTTGGCAAAGTGGGAGTTGAGGAAAGAACAAGGAGAGGGAATGGAAAAGTTGACTAACAGGATTAAGGGAAAAAGCAAATGGGAGAGGGACTCTGACAACTGGCCACTATGATACAATGGATACTGTATTTTCTTGTCTCAAACTTATAAAACACACGAGGCACCTAGCTAAAGTAGCTCAACGGTTATGTTTGACTTTCTTACCTTCTCAGGCTTTCCTTCTTCTCGTCACGTGATAAACAGTTGTCTAAGTGCTTATTAATGTTAGTTTCTGAAACACTAACCCCGCAAACAGGACAATCCACTGTATTTTTTCCAAAAAAGAAAAAGAAACTTTATTGTTTGTAGAATGGACAAAAATAATATGACATGGCATTTTTCAGAAACTAAGATAAAAAAATAGAATTCCAACTTTAACATGCACTTAGAAAAGCTGAAGAGAAAAAGAATGACACCTCTGAGCAACAGGGGTGGGGGATTGGTTACTGGACAACGACTGAATTGTGAGATGTCACATAATTCAAATCCTGGGCCTCGAGACTGCAAAGAAGTTTGGAAATTTGTTTATTAGAAAAAGTCTTTTCTACCAAGGTGTGACCAAACTGTAAAACTAATCTTAGGTTCTCCAAAGTCTTAGGAGCCATCCATCCATGTTCAGTGCCAAAGCAATCATGACACCTTGAATAAGGCCTAGTTGGCTGGGAGCAGGGTGGAGGGGTGGGGGTGGGGGTGGGGATAGTGTGGCTGGATTAAAGCATTTATTGGTTTGTGCCAACTACTGCTCAATTTATCAATGGTTACAAATTTGTTAATTTAATACAGAGTTAAAATTAAGAAACGCAATTATTCTCAAACTGTTCCTTGGAGTTGCAGGGATCTGTGGAGGTATCCTGGGTCCTGGAGGCCACCATGGATAATAGGCAAGGAGGAAGAGGAAGGCCAAGTGGAGCAGCACAATCCCTAGGGCCTCCATCTCTAATGCAACAGAGCCTATTTTATCCCTTTTATTGTTATGGTTTGTTGTAAGATTTCATTTGAAAAAATGGCTCTGCTAGGGGACAATATTTAACTATCAAGCTAAAAACACAACAATAAGAACTGAATTGATAGACTTACCAAAGATAAGGTGTGCTAGGAAATACAAGTAAAATTCACACATCCTTATGAAATCTAAACACTTGAGTACTAATTAAACTAATTTCAATCTAAATTTAATAACCACTAAGAGCCCTGCACTGTGTATGTTATGAATATACCAAAGGTATCTAAGTTTGTGCCTAAAAGGTGCTCTGAACTTCACTGGCAAGAAAAGACATGAAACAAAAGGTTAAACAAGCTGACCCACTCCTCAGAAAGCTAAGCAAATTGTACACAGATAGTTCAGAAAGCAAGTGTTGTAACATTTTAGTGATATGTACTATCAATATTATCTACCATAACTAAAGAGAGGTTAGAATCTGGACAGAATCTGAAAGGTAGAACACGGGTCGGCAAACACTGTTAGTAAAGGGCCAGGTAGTAAAGGTTTTAGGCTTGTGGGCCAGATGGTCTGTCACAGCTACTCAACTCTGCCATGTGCTATGAAAGCAGCCATGACAACAAGTAACCAAATGGATGAAGCTGTGTTCCAGGAACCTTCATTTTCAAAGTAAGTGACAAGCCAAATTTGGCCTGCAGTTTGTAGGTTGCCAATTCCTGGGTGTATTCAAGGAATAGAGGGGAAATCAGCTTGGCTACAGCAGAAGGTTTATGAGAGGGGAAGGTTAGAAATACGTTCAGACAGCTAGTGTAGGGGTCAGATTGTTTTAGGCTGTAAATGCCAGTCAGAACAGCTTAGAAGTATTCAAGCAGTGGTATAATAACATACAAAGAGCTCTTTAAGATTAAACTAGAACAAATATGAAAGATAAGGGGAAAAATTAAAAGCTGAAAAATAGAAAGCTACTGCCATACTCAAAGTATGAACTAATTAAAATTGCTTCATTTTTGCAGCAATCAGCCTGAATTCCTACTCTATGAGAGGAAGAACAAACATATCTTGAAACACTGTCTACATCAATTTCTGAGACTGTAATAAGGTGAAATCTGGTTTGCACTTTCCCAAATTCCTCCCCCATCAAAAATGCTGCTTATTTATTCTTATGTCATGGGGGATGAGAGGATTTCCATAAAATAAGAAAATACACATGTGAAAATAATTTCCTACCTTTAGTAACTTGTTTCAAAGTTGATGTAGAGGGTGCCTCAAGAACATTAGCATCCATGATGCCTGGAGCTGTCACTTCTGCAAAAGGTGTGTCTCTGGTCTTTGCAGGAGTGTTCCCCTCTATTTGAAGGCTGAATTTGCTGTCATTCGCTTTTATCAACAACTCTGATGCAGAACCACCAGTTTCTCTATTCACGAAATTCTCCATTAACCTGCTTCCTTGCTTTAAAGAATGTCTAAAAGCTACAGGAGTATGTAGTTTGGCAGCAAGATTCTTTGAAGAGGAGGAAGCAGGAGAAACGGGTGATGGCTCCAAGGTAAACTGCAACAAACGATTCCTTGAATAACAAAAAATAACAGATAACTAAGATATCAAGTTACATATAAGTTAACTGACATAAGCTGTTTTCCCAATTATCACTTATTTCTATGAAATACAGAACTTATTCCATAATGAAAACCAAACCAAAGTGTTTCTTCTAGAATAAAATACAAAGCAATATATCTGATTTACAATGCAGTTAATCTGTCTATGAAAGAAAATGGAGGAGCTTCAGATTCTGGAAATAGAGAAGAGCTGGTATGAGACTTACCCTTCAATCATAAATAACTTTAAAATCTGGACAAAATATATAAAACAACTGCTTGTAAGCATGGACTATAATCAACACAAGGCTGCAATCCCTGAGAGAAGAGAAACATGAGGTGACCCAATATTTCCCCAAGAATTTCCCCTGGGAGCATTTTCTGGGAGTTGGGTATTAAAGTCAAAACAGGAACCAGTGATCTCACTGGGCAGAGTGGAAAGAGATCAGAGTTCTAGGCAAAGGTGGCCAGGATTGGAGGGACAGGATACAGGATAGGGGGTAGCCACAAAAAGGGAACCCCAGAGGTCTGCTTAGAAAATTTCAATCCCTGATCATCGCCAGGGCTGCACGCGCATAAAATGAAACCAGGGGACCTGGTAGGAGGCAGATGCTGGGAAGCTGAGATTCCAAAGGTCAAGATTGGAAAATCTGGAGAAGTTTGAGCCCAGCTAAAGCTGAGAGGCTTGGTTGAAGACCCTAGATATTCAGTTGTAATCCCACAGAGGCCACGCCTTAGAAAGAAGGAGCTCACCCTAGAAATATAAATAAAACTGAAATAGATCAAACCTAACAAAACACTAAACCAGTCCTAGACAGAACAAAAGTGAAGAGCTGATAATTTAACTGCCTGTCAGGACAATATTCAACATCTTTCAAAGAAAGATAATCTACAGCTCCTATATTTCATCCACAAAGTTCAACATACAATTAGAAATTACTAGACATGCAAAGAAGAAAAAGTAGCCACTAATCAAGAAATAAAATAGCCAATGGAAGCAGATTCTGAGGTGATCCAAAGAATAGCATTAGAAGATATGAATTTCAAAGTAAATATGATTAATATGTTAAAGAAAAAAAGATGAAAACAGACAATGGATAAAAATATAGCATATTGTAAGAGGGAATTAAAAGCCACCCCAAGAAGGATAAAACAAAGAAAATGAAACCTAGGCATATCATAATCACACTGCTGAAAAATCAAAAATAAAGAGAAAATCTTATAAACAGCAAAAAAAAGGTAAGACATTGCCCCTAAGACACGGTGTCTCAATCTGAATACTACTGACACTTTGAGTCAGATAATTTTTTATTGTAAGGAACTGTTCTGTGCATTGTAAGAAGCTTAGAAGCAATCATAGCACCTATAAGACTGGATCGAAAAATAAGATGCAACTATATACTATTTAAAAGAAAACACTTTAATATAAATATAAATACCCAGGAAGGTTGAAAATAAAATGATGGGAAAAGATGTACCATGTAAACACTAACCAAAAGAAAGCTGATGTGGCAACATTAATAGCTGACAAAATAGACTTGAAGGCAAAATGTATTATAAAAGATAAAGACATGTCATTTTGGCAAAATTATCAATTTACCTAGAAGTCATAAAAATCATAAATTATATTCGCTTAACACCACAGCTTCAAAATGTAAAAAGCAAAAACTGACAAAACTAAAATAGCTAATTCATAATAGTTGGCTTAAATAATAGTGCGTATAAATCTAAATACACCTCTCTAACAATAGACAAAAATCAAGAATACAGAAGAGCTGAACCAACTCATTTATTTAAACTGATGTACTTAACAAATAAAAACCATTACACCTGACAAATGCAGAATACACATTCTTTTCAAGTATACATGGCACGTTTACCAGCATAGACAATGTCCCTGGCCATAAAGCAAGTCTCAACCAATTTCCAAGGATTAAAATAATTCAGTGTATCTTTTCAGACCACTGTGAATTCAAATGAAGCTCAATATAAGAAAAATAAATAGAATATCCTCAAATGATAAAAAATTAAGCACCACACTTCTAAATAACCCCACAGGTAAAGTAGCAACAAAGACTAGAAAATATTCTGAGTTGAATGGGAGTTTAGTAAAATAGTCCCTACAGATCAAATTATAACTTTTAACAGAAAAATTGAAAATCACATTCTAAGCTTACAACTTATAAGGTTAGGAAATGAACAGCAAATTATACCCAAAGATGGAGGTAAATAATAATAAATACAAGTGGAATGGAAAATAGGCATACAAAAGAAAATAAGCAAAGTAAAAAGTTAGTTCTCTGAAAAAATTAACAGAATTAGTAAACTCCTACCAAGGCTGAACAAGAAAAAAATAAGTGAAAATACAAATTACAAAAACAAAGAATTAAAGGGAGGCATCATTACAAATCCTGCAGAAAATATAAGATAATAAGAGGATATTATGAGTACTTTATACCAATAAATTTAAAATTTTAGATGAAATGGACAAATTCCTTGAAAAGCACTACTCATTAACACTGACAAAAGAAGAAAACAGAAAACCTGAAGAGTACTATTATTTATTAAAGAAATTCAGCTGTAGTTAAGACCTTCCAACAAGATAGTTTTGCTGGTGAATTCCACCAACTATTTAAGAAATAATATCAATGTTATACAAATGTATCCAGAAAATAGAAAAAGGAATGCTTCTCAACTCATATTACAGTTAGCATAACTTTGACAACAAAATCTGACAAGCACATTATAGGAAAAAAAATTATAGTCCAATGTCTCATAACTATAAACAGGAAAACACAAAATAAAGTATTAATAAAATCTAGAGATAAATAAATAATATATCACGATCAAATGGGATTTATTCCAGTAATGCAAGGTTGGTTTGCTATTTGAAAAATAAAAATAAAATAAAAATAAAAATAAATGCAATTCACCACATTAGCAAAATAAAGGAGAAAAACTATATAATCATCCCAATAAATTCAGAAAAAGCATTTGATAAAAATCAACATCCCTTCATAATAAAAACATTCTGAAAACCAGGAATAGAAGAAAACTTTCTTAATCTGATAAAAGATAATCTTCAAAAAGCCTGTAGCTAACATCATAGTCACTAATGAAACACAGAACATCTCCCCCTAAGACTGAAAACAATATAAGAATGTCTACTACCATTACTTCTCTTCAAATTGTACTGGAGCTTTTGTGGTAAAACAAACCAATAAATACAAAAGGTACAAAAGTTGGAAACAAAGAAAGCTTTTCATTTGCGGATGACATGATTATGTGCATAGAAAATCCACAAAAAATCAACAAGCAACTAGAATAAGTGAATTTTTGCAGGGTCACTGAATATGTCAATAAACAAAAATTAATGTTGCAGCTATATACTAACAAACAGAAAATGAATTTTTAAAATACATACCACTTGAAATACCATAAAAAATATTAAATACCTGAGAATAAATTGAACAAAAATGTGCATAACTTATGCCTTGAAAACTACAAAAGAATGCTCAGAGAAATTTTCAAAAGGCCTAAATGGAAAGAGAACTGACTCTGGGTGTAAAAAAAAAAAAGCCTAAATAAATAGAGAGATAACCTATGTGTGTGGGCTAGAAGATTCAGCGATGTTAAGATGCCCATTTCCCCACACTGATTTATAGATTCAATGCAATCCCAGTCAAAACACAAGCCAACTTTTTGGGGGGTGGAAATGAGACATTCATTTGAATGTTTATATGAAAATCAAAGTTCCTAGAATGCCAACAGTCTTAAAGGAAATCAAAGTAGAAGATCAGCACTACAGCTACAGTATTAAAGACACTAACATATTAGCTTAAAGAGAGACAAAGAGAGTATGGAACATAATGAGTCCAGAATTAGACCAACACATTTAGTCACTGGATTTATAACAAAGCAGCCATTGCAATTCACTAAGTCTTTGAAATTAATGGTGCTGGAGCAAGTGAATCTGTCAGAAAAAAAAAAAAAAAGAATCCTGACCCTTATCTCCATCATACATAAAAATTAACTTTAATAGTTTCATAGACCTAAATATAAAACCTAAAACTATAATGATCCTAGAAGAAAACCTATGAAAATATCTTTGTGACCTGAGGTAGGTAAAGATTTCTAAGGCAGGATAAAAAAAAAAAAAAAAGCAGTAATCATTAAAAGAGAGAGAGAGAGAGAGAGAGAGAGAGAGAGAGAGAGAGAGAGAAACTAGACTTCATCAAAATTAAAACATCTATTTATCAAAAGACACCCTTTATAAAACGAAAAAGCAAGCCACAAACAAGGAGAAAAAAATACAACACATGTATTTAACCAAAATACTTAAAGAACTACAAACCAATAAGAAAAAAATACAATTTTTATACACTGTATAAGAAACTGGAATAAACTATCAAAGACACAAGAAGAGTCAATAAGCACAAGAAAAGGTGCGTTAGTTATCAGAAAATGCAAATTAAAACCACATGAGTTACCATTTCACACTGAATAGAATGTTTACCACTACAAGGACTAACAGTACCAAATAGTAACCAGGATGTGCAGCAACTGAAACTCTCATACACTACTGGTGGGGGTAGTCCAACACGACTGGAAAACTGTCTGCCAATTTCTTATAAAGTTCAATACACATCTACCCTGTAAGCCAGCAATTTCATTCCTAGATATACACCCAAAAGAAGTGAAAATAGATGCCTACACAAAGATTGCACACAAATGTTCACAGCAACTTTTACATACTGGCCATAAACTTGAAACAGTCCAAATTCATCAACAGATGAATAAATAATGAAATTGTGTATACTCACACAATAGATACTATTCAGCAATAAAAAAATAATAGTACTGAAACAAGCAACAACATAGACAAATAACAGAACCAGTATGTGAAGAAGCAAAGGCAAGAATAAATACATACTGTAAGATTCCATTTATATGAAGTTTAACCCTCCATCAG